GCATTGTGGAAAAATGCAATTATCAGTCTATTATCTTCTATTGTGATCTGAGGTGACAAAAAATTTGGTCCAAATTTGGTGATAGTCTTTAAAACCTACTTTAGTTAAATATAGGATTTTTAAATAAAGGATTAATGGCCCTAGGTAGTTTAATCACTTCCGGTTGTAGTCATTTGATAAGAATTCAATGCAAATCATTCAATTAAATATGGTAGATAAGGAAAGTAACTGCCCGATTAACCTCCAGAGATAACATTGTTAGGGAGACTTTCATTTCGAATGAAAGTGCATGAAGAAGAGATTAGAAGGTCGATCTTACCAGAAGAGGATGATTGATTTCCGTTGTACTGCAGCCGTTTGGCTTTTATACGATGTTCAGGTTGACGTGGTCCACGAGATTTCCTCCCTAGTTTCAGGTGAAAACGGGCTGAACTTTCGTCCATCACATTATGGACATCATCAGAGCTGGAAATCATCCTTGTAAGTCTCACGTTAACACACTATCCGGCTCAACCTTACTCCTTATATATATATATATATTCATAACTAAAAACTAAGTGAATAGGCATAGATGGAAAAGATGGTTTGGCTAATTTTCTTTCATACTGGTCCTGCTAGTTTTGCAAATTAGTGCTCGTAGAACCTGAATTCGGAATTTTAAATAACGAGCAAGATGACAAATCAAACTAATTTAGCTTCTCGGACTAAAGCTTGCATAAACGAGATAAATAGTTTCTTCAATTTCTCGATTTAACTAACATTTTAACACCAGCATAATAGAGATAAAAATGAAGTGTGATTTGCATATATGAAATATGAGAAAAGGAAAAGAAAAAAGAATGGAAAAGATTAGAGTAATTCACTTTTTGGAGTGGTAATTGCACTGGCAGGCTTTTGACCAAGCACAAAACCTGTACTTTGCCCACCGGAGACTGAGGCCGATGATTTAGAGGAGAGTCTCGAGCTCAATGGTTGCCCGCCAGAAACCATCGGGAATTGCTGCTGTGTCGATAGGCCGGTACTGGCTCTACTGACTGTCGGAGGGCTGTGGCCAACTGCCGAAGACAGTGACGTCTGGGTAGATTTTAACTTGGGAAAAGGTGTCACTTTAAACATACTGGAATCGAATTGCAAGAGAGAGGATGCGGGCTCAGAAATCGAATCAGATGCTGATTTTGTGGACAGATTCAAGCTTTGAGGAGAGGTTGTTTCAATCGGGCTCGAAGAGGATACAAGTGATTGGAGGGAATGTGATGAAACGGTGGTGGTCGTAGGCCTGAGACGCGCAAGGGTTCCTAAAGATTTAGAATTAATTAATGTCAATGATTATTGCATAGTGGCGATAATCGGATAGCCTAAATGATAATGTCACCATTTCTCCTGTACCTGATAGACCTAAAGTATACGCTTAGTTAAAAACAAGACATGATCAGGCTTTTGACCTCCTCCAGATTAATAATTCAAAGGTATTTGATAGCTAAAATGCTTAATAAAGGTAAGTAACATTGATCATTAAGGTAATGCAAATCTGAATAGTTTGTTATTTGATGTAATGTTAGTATTTAAGCAAAAGGCTAAGAAAATCCATTCTACTCTAACCATAATAAATCGGCTTTGAAACAATGAATGGAATTTGAATAAGTCCCAGACAAATCAACCATCCGATGCTGGAACTCATCTTGAATAGTATACCAGAAGAAATTAGGACAAGGAAAGTTCCATAAGGTTTCCCTATCGCTCCGACCAAGGAGCGTAAACGAGGTATAAACAAGATCATACAGCTAAAGGAGAATGTGACCAAGTCTAAGGACGTACAATATCTGTCTTACTATCAACGATTGAATCATGATAAACATATTTACGCGACTCAAAGAACAAAAATACCATCTTATACTCTTCTTATAATTTCATAGCCAAATTTGTCATGAACTCAATAAAATGGTAGCTAACTGATATACCCAACATTTTTGGAACCAGAATAGCTTCTTTAATTCATAGAAGCTACATATCGTCCTAGTTCATATAATTGATCACTAAAGATAAAATATGTACTGGTTATTATTAAATTATCAATTTCATGATCGTCATTTTGCATAGATTCTAACCTAATTATATGTAATAAAATGATATATTATGATGATAATCAGAAAGTGTTAACACTTAATTATTAATGGCACAAGTTATATCACATGTTCATTAACAAGCCTTACAAAGTTCAACTATTACTTTCTTCGTATAGTTGTTGTCACTTAGCCAAACATGGCTCGAATTCTTTAAAGAAACTAACAAAGAAAACGTTTAACATTGCTTTAAGAGAAATTTATAATTTTTCATCGCAACTAGCACGTAGTTTAACGTCTCAATCTTATTTTGAAGCTCATTTACTACTT